TGTGTGTGTGTGTGTGTGTGTGTGTGTGTGTGTGTGTGTGTGTGTGTGTGTGTGTTTGGTTTTACATTACATTATTTTAACTTTGCCTGTTTCTTAGCTGTCACAGAACTGAGTTAAGATCAATACTGAATCACAAAACCGTTGCGGCTGGTGTCCCACCAGCACAGCGTTAGTTAACCAGGATGATGTCATCATCCTGTGATAGAAATCAATGCTAACCACTGCTAGTCGCTGCTAACTCTACTAATACTGCTAAAATATTCTCTTACAAATATTTTAAACTTGCTGAACACAATTTTTATGTTTTATTCTTAGCTGCGTGTTTTTGCATGACTAAATGATGGACATTTTCTTTTTCTTTCCTTTTTTAAGGTTATAAAGCGCTCCTCAAGTGTCTGTCAGGACGATTTTGCAGCAGAGAACTGATCGGCATCATGGGCCCCTCTGGAGCCGGGAAATCCACTTTGATGAACATTCTTGCAGGATACAGGTGAGAAACTGTCCTRAAAATAAAGGCATTTMTTTTAATTTTTTTGWTTGCATTTTATAATATTTACACAAGAAACTGCATATTACTGTACACCTACTGTGTGTTTGGAAACAAGGGAAACTGGCATGAAGGGCACGATTCTTGTTAACGGTCGGCCGCGGGATCTGAGGACCTTCAGGAAGATGTCCTGCTACATCATGCAGGACGACATGCTCCTGCCACACCTGACTGCACGAGAGGCCATGATGGTGAGAAAAAATTACAATAAATTCCCAACACCCTTCTGAATCCTAAACTTCAGTAGTAAGTGATAACTTTGTCTGTCTTGYAGGTTTCTGCCAACCTAAAACTGAATGAGACCATGCAGATCAAAAAAGAACTTGTGAGTTTGAATGTGCTGATGTTAATGCTATTTAAAGTGATAGTTCAAGTATTTGAAGTGAAGGTTTTGTTATTTCTGCAAACTCAGGGTTTYTAAAAATGTATCCACTGCTGGTAAGATGTTTATTGCTCATACTGTAACTTTTACACAGAACCCTACTTTAAAAGGCCTCAAATGTTGCTTTATTTTGAAAYGGAATAAATGTGAGAGGTCAGCTGTATGTTTTTTTATTAATCAGTGTTTGCACCCCTAAGAAAAAGCTGCTTCATTTAGSGTTTCTTTAATTGACATGTTACAGTTCATGACTCAGTCAATTATGGCTGAGGTAGCAGATCTGTGACACTYATTTTGTACATTAAAAACTGAATAGTTTGTGAAACAATGTTTAAGTACACATTTATAAACCTTAGGCCTAAATAATCCAAATGATRTGAATGCACAACACAACCAAAAACCCAACAAAGACCTCAGAACAATGACACATGTTAAAATAATAAAACTACAATTCAGAGAAAAGCAGTATTTAAAAAACAAGCCAACACGTTTCACACAAAATATTAGAAAACTGATTTTAAAGTGAAATGATGAGATCTTTTAAAAAAAAATCCAAATTAATATATTGCAGAAGATTATAAAAAAAAGTTTTAAAAAATTCCACATTTTATATGTGAAAAGTTAAATCCTTGTCAAATTTCATCTGATTTTATTGGATTATTTTGTTGTTTTAGTTTTTGGTCCCTAAATGGTTTGATTCATGAAGAACAATAACAAAATCACCACAGGCAGACAAAGAGCAAATCAGAAAAGTGTAAAATAATGACAGTAATTGGTGATGATCTTCATCTCCTGTGCATTCAGCTCTTCTTCATGTCCTGTCATGGTTATRGAAAATGTTTACTTGTTCTTAAGGTGGATGAGATCCTGACAGCTCTGGGTCTCCAGGAATGCGCTCAGACCCGCACCAACTCTCTGTCCGGGGGTCAGTGTAAACGACTGGCCATCGCCCTGGAGCTGGTCAATAATCCTCCGGTCATGTTCTTCGATGAGCCCACCAGGTAGAAACTCCCCCAACTCACTTCAGCTCGTTAATTCACACTCATTAGAGCTTCTGCTTCTTTCCCTGTGTCTGCTGTCATCCCCCTCCCCTCCCCCCTCCAGCGGTCTGGACAGCGCGTCATGCTTCCAGGTCGTTTCCCTCATGAAGTCTCTGGCTCAGGGAGGACGGACAATCATCTGCACCATTCATCAGCCCAGTGCCAAGCTCTTTGAGATGTTTGACAAGGTAAGCTGAGTGCTTTCACTGCGTCCAACCTTCCATTAGCCGCAGCTCACACTGGGACACTACAGGTTGGCATGATTCATTTTTATACAGCAGAAGCAGTCGATTATCCCGKCCTGTTGTCTTGTCGGGTATTGATCCGGACTTTCAGGGAGGCGGTGTGTTGGAAAAATGTGTCGACTCTGTTTCTGTGTTCTTCCTCCCCAAGCTCTACATCCTCAGTCAGGGTCAGTGCATCTACAAGGGGACGGTCCCGTACCTCATCCCTTACCTGAAGAACCTGGGCCTTCACTGTCCAACGTATCACAACCCTGCTGATTTCAGTGAGTCCCACAAGTCCTTCAGGACATGCATGGGTCTACATTTCCCCCTGTRTGTTTTTTTAATATATATAATTATTTGTTTTTCATCTTTGATTTTAGTTATTGAAGTAGCATCAGGAGAATATGGAGACCTGAACCCGGTTCTGTTTGAGGCGGTCCAGGGTGGACTGTGCTCCGAGGAAGGAAAGAAGAACTCCAGAGACAAAAGCGACTCCTCCTGTCCTTCTCAGTGTTACCCTGTAAGTGACATGGCTGTTTGACCCTGGAGACACACGTCTGTATTGGTAACAAATCATAATGTCACAACAGTAATACCATTTTTTTTTTTTTTTTTTTTTTACATTTCGAGCTTGTTTTGAATGTGTTACAGCCCTGGTTACAGACCAGAAACAGGATGAAATATAAAATAAATATTACAATTGTACTTAAAATTTTGATGCCAATTAAAGACCTAACATTGTCTGAAAGGTTGCATATCACCTGTTCAAATGAGAGATCAAATCATGCGCAGGAGATCAAATCAGTTCTCAGACTTGAGTATTTTTTTTACAAACATACAGAGTTTATAATAAAACTCAGATAACATTTCCTGAATCTCCCTCCCTTGATTCTGAGACTCAGAAAAATGGCCCCGGATCACCTGTTCTTACTGTGTTTATAGACAATCTGCTCACACCCTGGATTTGATGCCATAGTAAGCGAGGAATTAAGTTCTAAAAACAAACACTATAATTAAATTTAGACTTGTTGATTCTCTTAATGTTTAAAATGAATGATTACAATTGAAAAATTAAGTGTGTATCTGAGATTCAGTTAATCAGTCACAAAATATCGTACAAGCCTGAGTTTCAGACAAAGATCTTTTTTTTATGTTGAGAAACAAATTAAAGCTATTTTGGACAAACCTTGAATATACCATGATGTAGAACCCCATGCAATTTGACAATGTCTTACACGACCTGTTAGCATTTGGAATTAGCAACTTTTAGCTGTGTAGGCCATCTTGAAATGGGTTCTAGAGGTACATCTAATTATTATTTTCTGAGAGCTTTATTAGAATCTAATGCTATAAATAAACACACACTGGAAACAAAAAAGTACAAAAAAATTTAGGCATTGAAAATAGCTGATTTAAAAAAATTTAGCTGAAAATGCTGATTTAATTGTATTTTTTGTGAAATGTTGCAATTGTTTGTACAAAGTAAATTTCAAAACAACCATCAAACATATTTCTTGTTTTTCCTGTCCTTTTGACTTCATCAAAGCCTCTCTTTAATCTTCTTCAAGTGCTTCCTCTGCACTTTGTTTTTTCCATCTCACAAGTTACTTTTCATGAAATGATGTCTGAACTAGAAATGTGAATCAGCTGCAGTCTTCCTGCTTCAATTTTWCTCCCGCTGTCCTTTTATTCTACAAGTACTTCCTGTTCTTTTAATGAGCTTTTAATGAGGTTGTTTTTTTTTTTGTTTTTAGCTTTTAATGTAAGCTAAATAAAAACTTCAGCACATAGCTGCTAACTTTTTTCTTTACACTAACAGGATCAGCCTTCAATTCTGGGCAAAATCAAGGGCAAGCAATTCATTCATCTTTTATGCATTCATCTGCAGCAGCTTGCTTCTACTAAACGTTTCGCTAAGAGCGCAGCGCGAGAGTATACCTGCTCTGATATTTAACTCCTGCTTGCTTCACAGGACACAGGGACTCTGGAGAAGCACAGCTTTGCCACGAGCACATTCACACAGTTCCGCATCCTCTTCAAAAGAACCTTCATCACAATATGCAGGGACACGGTAATGAGCCACAAACTGATCCTGTTTTGGCTTAAATAAACTGTTTTCTTTTTAAATTGTTTGCAATAAGTGGGCTTGTTTGTGTTTTTGTCTTTCTAGGTGCTGACCCATCTCAGGGTGATGTCCCATTTGTCTATTGGAGTGCTTATCGGCCTGCTTTATTTGAATATTGGAAACGACGCTAGCAAGGTCTTCAACAACACGGGCTTCCTTTTCTTCTCCATGCTGTTCCTTATGTTCGCTGCCCTGATGCCCACTGTGCTCACCTGTAAGACCCCGACATGCAATGGGTTTGAGTTACGGGGGGCTGTTGTTGTTTCTGGCTGAGGTGGGAAGTCTTTTAACTGAGCTGTCTGTCCACAGTTCCGCTGGAGATGTCTGTGTTTGTGAGGGAACATCTCAACTACTGGTACAGCCTTAAGGCCTACTACTTGGCCAAGACTATGGCTGACGTACCGTTCCAGGTGGAGTTTTGATGATTTGACACTCGTTGGTGCAGAGATTCACACACAGTTAAATGAACAACACTAAAAAAACCCTGTCTCCACTGCAGGTGATGTGTCCGATCATGTACTGCAGCATAGTATACTGGATGACTGAGCAGCCTGCAGAGGCCGGTCGCTACTTGCTCTTCATGGCCTTGTCAACATCCACAGCCCTGGTGGCCCAGTCGCTGGGCCTGCTAATAGGAGCTGCATCCACTTCTCTGCAGGTCGGAACAATCTACGACCCTTACATACCCCTACTGCTATCCAAAATGACTACATGGGAACCCTGGTTTATTTAGGACATATCCTTGTACACACRCTCATCGGCATTGGCTACACTTGTCTTATTGCTTGTTAAAAACAAGCTGCTGAAGTTCATACCGAGCATGAGAATGAAGAACAAACAGGATTTAAATGACTTTACACACGGTTGGTGACCATCTGAAAATAATTATTATTATTATTATTATTATTATTATTATTATTATTATTATTATTATTATTATTATTATTATTATTATTATTATGTATTTTTTAGGAAACAAAAATGTTATATGTTCAGTTTTTGGTTAAGTCTTATTGTGTTTCCTGAAAACTGAAAAAAAATTAATTAGGTGATTATTTTAGCACGGGGATGGTGAATTATGAGGTTTATAGTTAATAGCAAACTACAACATCACCTCTAGATGTCACTAAATCCAACAAACAAGCTACATYTTCAAACTGAACCAGTTTTTCCCCTTGAGAACAAAAATAAAGGCTGTGTAGAGTTTTCTGTCATATTAATGGTCGCGCACACAAGAAAACGTGGCATGTAAAGGACATCACAAAATTTTAAAAGAGAAAACGTGGTTTTATCATAAATTTATTACTTARCTCTAAAGTTTCCCTAACCGTAACCAAGTATTTTGAATGACAAAATAGACAGAAAGTATTCCAAATGAGGCCAAAGGAAGTGAAAAATAACCATTTTAAGGYTGTTTGTTTTCTTTTAAATTAAACCTAATATATTTAATTACAGTGTTTTTGAAGCAGTCATGTTGTTTCACAGGTAGCAACCTTTGTTGGTCCAGTCACAGCCATACCCGTCCTTCTCTTCTCTGGCTTTTTTGTCAACTTCGACACTATTCCAAAATACCTACAGTGGAGCTCCTATGTCTCCTACGTCAGGTATTTTTTWAGATGCTCCAATTATTGCTTTTTAAATTAGCCTGCRCTAACTGATCACGTCCAAACTGTCTGCTTTCAGATACGGCTTTGAGGGGGTGATCCTCTCCATCTACGGYATGAACCGGTCGGAGCTAGAGTGTCCGGACACGATGTGTAAATTTCAGAAACCCGAGGAGGTCCTGCAGCTGCTGGACGTGGAGGATGCCAAGCTTTACGTGGACTTCATGGTGCTGGGGGTGTTTTTTCTCATCCTCAGRCTGGCCACCTACCTGGTTTTGCGTTACAAAGTCAAGTCGGAGCGTTAAGACGTTTAGAGGGAACCGCTGATGGATTTGGATGCCGATGCATAATTTAGCAGCGTGAGAAAACACGTGGTTTCTCTCCTTCCTCCATATCCACTTCACACACACACATCAGAAAGCTGTGCTGCAACTTCACCTAAACTGTAAWGTACCTGGACTGATGAGGTTTGGGATAAAAAAACAAAAAAGAGAGACAAACATTGACCAAGAAAACAGAAAATAAACTGTGCTAAGGGAACATATTTTATATCTGCACCCTACAAAGTAACTTAAAGCATGTTTCATTAAACCGGAGAAATTTGAGTTTGACCTTTTGAGAAAGTCTAGAAGAATGTCCTGAATGCACGACGGTGCCGGAGTTAGCAACTTGTCTTAAACCAGTGCCTATAATGGTGATCCAGTCGGGAGGTAAAAAGAATCCTTTTCACTGAAATCAGACCGGTACGGTTTCAGGATGGAGATCCTCGTATCGCCATCAGAAACGTGGAAACTTTTCACAAGACAAGATCCAACCTTGATGCGACCTATGTCTCTCCTGTAGGAAGATCTTTTCAGGTACTTGTACCACAAAGCGGACTTGTCTCCGTGGAACACGACCGAAACAAACCGACTGCCATTGGATAACTTTCATTAAGGATCATCTTCACAGGCCTCCTGCTCAAACGTTTGGTGGTGGTCTGAAACCTTGACTGAGCTCAAACTGTCCTCACTTCCTTCTTATTCTTTTTCTTGTTTTTTTTTTYCCATAAACAGGAAGTGCACGGAGCGAGCTGTGAGCAAAATGTGCAAGGGAATTTCCAGCCTGATGCAAGGGCCTGTTATCATCTCAGAGAGAATGATGTTTTAGATAAAGTGCAATAGCTTATTCTGCAGATTATAAAATGAAAAAAAAAGATGTTTGTCTAATCTGTGTCACTGTTTTGACACTTTTATTCTTTAAAAMGCTTGTTTCCACTGTCAGCGGCCTCCTTTCTGTCCTGAGCTACTTCAAATTATACCTCCTGTTTCCCCTTTTTCCTCGACTTTCGCTCTGCTTTGCTGATGTCTGACAGATGTGTGTCGTCAAAAAACAATGCTAGATACTTGAAATGCTGGCTGAGCGTTTATTTTGGGTTTGTTTTCTGGTGCCTCTGAACTAGRATGATTTGAGTTTTTACTCTGCTTTATCGTTCGGTCATACCTACCTGGTTGTCTCCCTCGCAGACATGTGACACACACRATCAGAAACCATCATTGCAATGTTTAGAAGAGCCTCTCCTAGTCACACAGCAATGCAAATATTTTCCAAAAGACTTGCTATGAAGTATTTCTTACTCAAACTATGCTACTTAGTAATCCTTATTATATAATGCATAAAATAATGTGAGCATATAATCAATTATTGTACAGTGAATATGTCATGCTGTAAACAAATGTATATTTGCACTTTTCAGTGTATGTTTATTCATTTTTTAATTATTATTTATTTGTATTTTAGTTTATTTTTATATAGCCGAGACAAGTGCTGCTTGAAAAAAAAAACTATTGTCGAAAAGGCTCCTGAACGTTGGAGGACCACTGAAGGTATTGAATTTAAAAAATAATAATAACAACTTAAAGCTCAGATTTCATTTCCTCATCCAAAATGTCTTAATGTAAAGTGGTTGAAGAAATGCAAATCCTTTGCTTTTTCTGACGAGCGTTTCTTTTCTTTTTTTTTAATGGACTGTCTGGAATAAAACGTGCATCACAGAGATTAATTAAAATAATAATAATAATAATAGTAAAAAAGAAAAAAGGGGAGAGAATTAGTAGTGATTAAATAAAGTTAAAGATAAATGTGTGAACCGTGTCAGAGTGAGTTAAAAAAAAGAACCAAATGTCTCAATATGTAGCTGAATAGAGAGAAGGATGCAGCTGCAGGTCGGTTTCCAGTCACAACAGCAATAGTTTAACATTTATTTTAGAGTGATACCTCCCCCTGCTGTTGCTTCAGTCACTTTAGAAGTCTTCTCTTCCTGTTGGTTTGATTACGTGCAATAACCATCCAAAGGTATTTTTTAAAATATGTGAAAAGGGAACTTTTTTGAGTGTTTTTGTTGCTTATGTTTCATGACATTGGTTAACTTTGTTTATTTATTTACTTATTTCAATTGGATATTAGATGACTTGAGATTGCTGGGAAGGTGGTTTATCTATTGTAATGTCAGGAGTTGTCAAAATAATTGGTAACAGAAAATCCTGTCACAGCAGGAACGTTATTTGATCTTCCCAAGATTCGATCAAAATAATGGGAAAGGGCTTGAAAAAGTGGGAAAAAAAGGCAATTTGTACAAGAAAAAGAGGAAATAATTCCCAGAAGTCATTAAAGGGTTATAAAATATCTTAATAGTTTCAATAGAAATGAAGGATGGGTTCAAACATTATGAAGTGGGGATTTGTGAAAAGATTATAAACAAAGAATATCTTAAATGTTGCAGATGGCTGTTTGAACGACCTCAGTTTATTTTTCRATCAGGACTGATGAGCTAACAKCTAGTCCGAATGGCGCTAAAGTGGATTGTCTTAAAATGAAGTCCAGTCTCAAACTTTACATTGTAGTTCATGTGAATGCTTTTTTGTACACATTATTTGCATTATTTAAGTGTTTACATAGATTTCTGTGATCATTTGCGAGCACAAACCGCAACAGCGGCAGCTAGCTGTGGCATTTCCTGTGCAGCCTGGAGCACACCTGGCAGGATTTTTTTATTTTATTTTTTTGTGTTGAAATAACCGTGTAATGTGAAATTTGCTAGTGATGTAAATGTTTGCAAAATAGCATTTGCATAAAACACAATCAATTCTCCAACTGGAGTTTCAAAGAACAATCCACAACAGATACGATGTTATTGTTCATAAACCTTTTACAGAATCCCACTTTGAAATGTTCAAATTATCCCTTTAAAATGTGACGTATGACCATCTGCTCTTGTCTGATCATTTTGTAACCAATCATGGTTCTTGTTAAGCATTGTTTTGCTTTGGCAAAAAACTGAATTGTTTTCAGTTTTTGGAGTTGATGCAGCTGATAACCTCAATTTTTTGTTTGTTTTTTAAGTCTTTATGACTCTTTTAATTATTCACTTTTTCATATGTTTTTATAATAATCCACCAGACTGAACTGCACTCTATCATGCATGGTAAATAATAATATTCAGGCTGTTTCCTGAAGAAAGCTTTGACAAATAGCAATGCAAATGAGAGATTTTTGTTCAGTTTAATTTCCTTTTAATTTCGCTCTTATATMATTTCTGATTTACATTATGATTAGTCAACAAATTCAAGTTCTGTATACTGAATGCTGTTCCAAGGATTATAATAAAGAGAATTTATAACCTTTGCTCGTTTCAATGACTCGCTGCAAAAATGATTGTTAATGTGGTTTATCATCAGTGAACAAGAAATCAATTTGCTTGTAGTTGTGAGAACTTTATACTTTAATTTCAAATAATGCTTGATTTAAAAACATAACAAGTGATAGTGGGCACTGAAGTGCTTCCATAAATCTACACAATGGCTTGTTCGGGGTGGAGAAATTTAGTCATGAGTCATTTTAAAAAATGTGTAAATAAACTTGATGCCTATATATGTGTTTGTTCTGTTACAAAAGCAGGCATAGTCATCTTTACTTAATGCTTTCATCAAACTTCTAATTCTTATTTCATGGATCGAATATGCTGGCCTGGCCCCTGCCTTGAGGGGACAGACAGATGCTCCACCTGATTGTCACATCTGTTCCCACTCTCTCTGTTTTCATATAATAACATGATCCTGGTGGGCAATTATGGTCCTCTAGGGCTGCCATCTTGCATGTTTTACTTGTTTGGGATGGAAGGATGGAAATATGCTGCAAAGGTTAAAATAAAAGACACCTTAAYCATCAGTAAGGCTCATCTTTGCTCGACTGGCTGCTRCAGCCAGTGCTTTTTAGCATAGCTGCTCTTTCCCCTTTAGCTAAAAATAGTGCTAATGAGCTCAATATATTCAGATATATTTTACAGCCTGCAGATCACTTATTTGAACTGTTGCCACCTGGCAGGTGCTGCGTTGTAGATCAGTTAATGCACCAGCTTCATAAACCTTATTTCTACAAAGACAACTTACATTTTCAAACTTTTTACTTTATAAAAAAACTGTGTTCAATATTACACGTGCACTATGGAAGCTTATTTTCACCACTCTGATGAAAAGACAAACAAACAAACTATGAGGTGGCTAGTCATAATTATGAGATATGTTTGTTTGTTTGTTTGTTTGTTTGTTTGTTTGTTTGTTTGTTTGTTTGTTTGTTTTTTCCATCATGATGGTGGCAGATATGGGCATCCAGTTTTTTAACCTTTATTTTAAATCAATGAAGGCAGTACAATGTACATTGAACAATGTACGAAAAACAAATCAAAATGACTTAGCTAACAGCTTGTTTGATGACAAAATCACTAGAAAAAAAAACACAAGAAACAAATAGGTCTAGCTTTCTAAAGGCCATATTATTGCATGAAGTTGCTTAGTTTTGCACAAATTGTAAAAATATATTAAAATAAATWAAAAAAACATGGTCTTAGTTTTCAAATATAATGTGTGAATATACTGTTTGGTTAAGATTATACCGGTGTTATAAAGTTATTCCTCATTGTTTAGTAGAAATACTCCATATTTGGTTTTAAAGTAAAATTGGTGTTTGACTTAACCCAAAAGGTTTTGATTGACAACTTCCGGTTTTCTGACGGTGAACCTTCTTGCTGTATTTTCGTCTTTGTCGTGGACCGGCATTTTCCCACAACTCCCTGCTGCTGCACTCACAGATGACGAAAATGGTGGACAACGCATCTTCGGTAGGTTCTCGAAAAACAAAATGTTATTTAAGACCGTGTTAGGTTTGAAACTAACGTGCCGTCACAAACAGGTCGAGATTGTCGAAGGCTGCCGCCTCCCAGTTCTTCGTAAAAACCAAGAACACGAGGACGAATGGCGTAAGTGTTGCTCGTTTGTTTTCTCAGTGCGAAGCTACATGCTAAAAATGCTAACTTCAGCTGGCTGTTGTTAACAAACACTACGGCCTCCAGTTAAAGCTAAACAACACACTCATGAACGTGTTGTCTTACAGTATGATGAGTTTAGTTTATGTGCTTCTTGTGTCACTTTTATTTAAATTAAAACCTATTTTTTGACAAATGCCATTGTTTTTTTTTCTTTCAATAGGGATGTTAACATGTAAACATGATGTGACATGCATTCAGATTATATTAATTTTATTCTTCACAAAGATCCAGATTCATGTTATTAATAACTAGTGTCAAAAGTTCATTTTGTCTTAATTTGTTAATTTGTATTGCATTAAGCACACACACTCATCTGAGTTTTAGGAGCTTTCCCCAAACATTTAGAATACAGTGAAAAATCAACCTTAATTTGGTGTAAAAGGAGATTTATTTATGATTGCAACAGGAAGAAATATACTAAAACAGTCAAGAAGAAGGTCTGTGTTAGATATATTTAGTTTAAAAAAACAATCACAATGAGACATAAAATAGGAAATGTTAGTTTATGGAGTGGCGTCAATCAAATAACTACAGAAACATTGTACAGTGACTGAGGAATAAAGCAGTAGAGTGAAAAAAGTGTTTTATTATCAAACAAATAACTGAATTAACATTATCCTTAAATTATATCTGTGGCATAGTTCACTTAAATAAATTAACAAGTTTATGTTTACAACAAAAGTCATCATGTGAAGTTCAACGTATGTTTAAAACACTAAAATTTTTCTCAAATGCTCTAAAAATAAATGTAAATATTCATACTGTCTATTAAAAAATTTAAACCCCAACTACATTGCTATTTACAATAATGCAGCACAACATTTTTGCTAGAACTGATGAATATAACCTGAAAAGACAGTGTGAATAGATGATTTTATRGACTTACCCGTTACCTAAGTGTTTTCTGCAAGACCTTGACTCAACCATGTTTTCATAGTTACAGAAATGCAGATCAGCAGATTGTATTTATTTAGCTTCACTTCTGTTTTAACTTTTCTGTTTTGTTTTGTTTTGTTTGTTTTCTCGCAGCATTGGCTGAAATTTTAAGTGTRAAGGAAGTGTCTGGGAGAAAACAATACTATGTTCACTACATTGACTGTGAGTAAAGCCTTGTTTCATCAGTGTTTTGTCTGTCTCTGTAGAGTGGTTAAGAATTTGTACACTGCTGAGTGATTCTTGTTTTGTTTAAGACAAAAAAGGCAGTTTTTTTTTTGTCTTTTTAAAATTTGATTGAAGGTGCTATGAAATGGATGCTAAATTTAAATATTTTTTATTTTAGCTAAACTGGGGGAGTTTTGTTGAAGACTTGAATCGTAGTTTTTGTAGTTAAAGTGTATTTGTGTAACACTGAAACTTCATAGCAGCTGTGTTCCTGTCTGTATTAAATTTCCTTTCTAAAGTCAACAAGCGCCTGGATGAGTGGGTCACCACAGAAAGGCTGGACATGAAAAAGCTTCAGTTTCCTAAAAAAGAAGCTAAAACTCCCACTAAGAATGGTCTTYCTGGCTCCCGTCCCAGTTCACCAGAGAGGGAAGTGGTAAGTGGACACTTCGTTGCTAAATATTTATCTCAGATACTCCCAAGGTTGCAATAATATTCTCAAAATTAGCGACATTGAATTGGTAATGTTTTAAATTAAACAATAACTGCCCATATTTAACATTCCTGTGTGTGTGATAGCTAATGAGGTTCTTGAATAGTTTTAATAACCCTGCAAAATGTTCCATATAGTTTGTCTATTATTTAACTTTTTATTTTTATTTATTTGCTGTCAAAAGAATAAGTACATTAGTGATTTTATTTCCAGTATAGGTCACTCTCAGTTCATCATATGTAACATTTTCCTTTACAACAACCAGATGAYATTTTTCTTCTTTTCTCTGATTTCTGTTCTATTTAACTGGCAAAGGTGGGGGAGTTGGATTTTGTGGGACCTAAGTTTCATGAGTTGTTGCAGATTGTTTTGTTTTCAAATAGGCCTTACTTATTTGAATGTTTTCAGTGTTTTATAAGGCTTTTTGAATAAATTAGAAAAGCTGCTGCTACAATTACGCTAAAATTTTTAATGGAAAAGCTGCTCTTCTTGCAGTGATTTGTTAGGGTTGGCTGGTAAGTAAACTGTCTTTTAATCAGGCATAGAATCAGATAATATTTCTTTATATATTGATAAAATCTTGTTTCTTCTGTAAAGCTGTGTGATTGTACCTCTTCTTGTTTGTACSTCGTAGCTTTGTCCTCTCTTTCACTTTTTGTCTGTGAGCTGCAAAACTCTTGCTTACTGTTAATAACTTTAATTGTTTTTATTTATGGTTTAGTTGGCATTTTTGCTAGCCCAACATAAARTATAATCTTCATAATTTATGCAAAAATCTTTAAAGAATTTGTCAGGGTTTACCCTACAGTTGCACCAGCAGGCCARTGTATGCATTAAAAAGAAGTGTGTGTTATAGGCATATTGACTAAAAGTTATGGCTCAGTCATATTTTTCTCTGTGGCAGGTTTGTTATTATGCAATCTTCTAAAACAGTAAATAATTGCAGTGTCAGCCGTTAACATCTGTTTGGTTTTCTCTTGTGAGGTGAGTGAAAAAGTGGATACAAACACTGACGCAGCTGTGCAGAAGAAACAGGTAATCTAAATCAACATCAGTTATACAATCATAGTGTTTGGTTTAAAAAAAACAAACAACAAATGCTGAAAATGAAAATAAATTTTAACACCCTTGTGAAATCATGATTTGAGTTACCTGTTTACACAATCTGACAGTGGGCCCGAGGGTCAACATGTGTGTCACTTAATCCCCTTCCTTCTCTTCCTGTGTGTTCAGAGGAAGAGTCTAGATCTCAACCTTCCAACTGCCACAGCTCCTTCCAGAGGCAAAACGCTCCCCACTCCGGTACAAGTTGAATTTACCCATTCTAGAGATTACGAGACCTTCTTAAACCTGGTGTTAACATGATTTATGTGACTTAAGTTTGCACCGAAAAGAGTGAGTTTTGACTGAAAACACAAAGATAATAGTTTGGTTATGTAAACCTCTAATACTCATAGTTATAAACACAGTTTGTTCAGATGTTTACAAGGTTTTACTCTGAACTTGTCACTCCACATTYAAACTGAAAGCGTGCCTGTAAACTCTTGTTTTTGGTTCTGAGGGTGGTTTTATTACCTGCAAGTGTTAAATAAGAGATAATCCCAGGTCATGAAGCAAAGAAATGGGATCAAATAAATCAAAGGAAAGTGTTTTGTTTTGTTTGCAGCAACACAAGCAGCTGCACAATTTGTCATTTGTGTTGAATACATCTTAACACCAGGTTTAAACGAGGTCATTTTCAACAGACTAATGAACCTGGAGATGACCATAATTTTGACTAAAATTTGTGATTTGCTGTGGCTTTTAATCCAATCAATCAGAYTTATTCTAATCTCTGTTAGTGCACAAACGTCTGGTGACAAAAACAGTTTGTGTATTAACTTTGTAGGTGAAATTCTCCAAAATCCAGCTGTACATTTTGAAATGTGTGAATTCTGAGAAAAAAAACTGAACCTTGTGCCTCCAATCAGGCGGAATGCAAGCTGAATGTCCACCACCCGTGTTTGCCGCCGAAGAGGAAGGTAGAGAGCGTACCTGTGGCGACTCAGGTGCCCCCGGCCACCCCCGTTCCCTCTCTGCCGAGTTCAGCAGAAGCCTCCCAGGCAGCTGTTTTCCCTGCTGTGAGAGACACCAACACCTTTAAGTCTAGAGAAGACCACGACCAGCTCGCCTCACTCACAACGGTAACATAATCATCATAATAAAATCATTTCTGCATGTCTTCAAGATGATTTGTCATCAAAAACCATTTCATTACTTCCTGTAGAACGGCACCGCCCGACGCCTCATTCCCTCTCAGCCTGGCAGGAAGAGGAAAGCTAACTGTGGCGCAGCTGATGAGGTGTGTTGGATTCTCAACTCCAGTCAGCGACATTTTTATTTATGTTTTTATTTTATAACCTATGTGTTTGTTTTGCTTTATAACTTGTAATTTTATAAATTGTAAATTTGAAATCTTGGTCATTTATGTTTGCGTTCTACATCAGCTGCTTGTTTATGTGGTTTCTATTTATATTCATATCAAAAATGAAAATTAAGCAAATCTTGTAAAGTTTACCAAGACATTTTACTATTTATTTCTTAAAGTACAAATCCTTAATAAATGTGAGGGGAAAGTAAAATAAGTTCTAAATATATTAATAATTTTAAGGAATAGACTAGTTTGATTTTTTTCTACTGTTTTATGGAAAGGTTTTCTAGTCAGCACTTAATTTTCTTTAAAAAAATTTTAAGTGCATTGTGAAGTAATTAACATTTTAGGTTAAATCTGCTGAGATGTTTGTAGTTGGTCTTTGTGAGGTTTTGGCTTGCAGATTTTTAGTTTAAAATATGCTTTTACAAGGGTTTAGTTTTTATGTGGTGATAAACACAATAATTGTTAGGTTAATATGAAGTGACATGCTAATTTAAGACATTACAGATCTGGGATTTGTTATTATACAGTTTTGRGTTTCATTTTTAAGAGTAAAACAGAAATTGTACTCCTGGAGGGATAGATAGGWTTCTGGTGTAGCTCAGAAAAAAATCTGCTAATTTGTAATGAAAAGTGTTTTATTTCWTTTTGCCTGACTTTAACTTATTTAATTAGCAAATTAGGCTTCTGTCAAAGTCTCTTTTCCTCTTTWACCTTAGTTTTCAGTGTAAAAAACATATATTTTTAGTTTCTAAATGTTTGTGTTTTGTGTCTTTTTTCCTTGTAGATGATAAAGGTTTTGCAGTATAACAAGCCTCAAAGTGCCAGTGTCTTTCTGCCACCACCAGAGGTTTGTTTATTTCCTGTTATTGCCCATTAAGTGTGTTAGTGTCCAAATTCAGTTTAGTCCTGGTAAAAATGAACAGTATCAGAATGCTCATAATAAAATCTAAATGTATAAAAAATGAGCACTAAACAGACCAAACGGCTTCTGTTAAACTCAGACCAGAACTCTGGTGTGTTTGTCTCCACGTTGCTCACCAGGATTCTCAGGACAGTTCTGACGGCATCCCGACCGCCCCCCGCATGACGGGCAGTTTGGTGTCAGATCGCAGTCACGACGACATCGTCACCCGTATGAAAAATATCGAGTGTATAGAGTTAGGACGACACAGACTGAAGCCATGGTACTTCTCACCGTACCCACAGGAACTCACCACGCTGCCCATCCTCTACCTCTGTGAATTCTGTCTCAAATACGTCAAAAGTCTCAAGTGTCTTCAGAGACATTTGGTGAGGCTTCTTTTGTCAGACTTTATGTCATGCAACTAGATTGTTCTGAGTTTCTTCTTTTTTAAAATTAATTAATTAATTAATTTTTGCCATACCCCTCCACCTGTRAAGTACTGTATATGTGAAACTGGGTTTGCGTTGCTCTCATCGTCTGTTTCCTTTCATTTTCAGACCAAATGTAATTTAAGGCATCCTCCAGGCAACGAGATTTACCGCAAAGGCACCATCTCTTTCTTTGAGATCGACGGCAGGAAAAACAAAGTGAGTGATGGGATTGTTTTTATTTTCGCTCCTCTTTTTGTTTTATTGTTTCAGTTCTTTTTATTTATTTATTTATTTATTTTTTCAGAATTATTCCCAGAACCTGTGTTTACTTGCAAAGTGTTTCCTGGACCACAAAACGTTGTATTACGACACGGACCCTTTCCTCTTTTACGTAATGACTGAGTACGATTCCAAAGGCTTCCACATCGTGGGCTACTTTTCTAAGGTGCACAAATCTACTCTGTGACTAGAGGAGGGTAACCACATGGTGATCATTTTGTATTCAGCCACTTGTTGCCAGAGTCAAACGTTTTGCTCTTTGTTTTCAGGAAAAAGAGTCAACTGAAGATTACAACGTTGCCTGCATCCTGACTCTGCCTCCGTACCAGCGCAGAGGTTATGGGAAACTGCTCATTGAGTTCAGTGAGTAAACTTTTCAAATGTGATGGGGAAATATTAGTACATTTTAAATCTTTTGACACTTAATCTGTGGTGATTTTCAGGTTACGAGTTGTCAAAGGTGGAGGGGAAGACGGGCACTCCTGAGAAGCCGCTGTCTGATCTCGGCCTCTTGTCGTATCGTTCCTACTGGTCGCAAACAATCCTAGAAATTCTCATGGACCTTAAACCTGAAAATGGAGAAAGGCCACAGATTACGATCAAGTAAGAGACAATAATCTCAGCAGTCGTTTAGCGAGTCAGTTTTAAAACAGAAATCTWATTGTTTGTCGTTTTGACCAAACAGTGAGATTAGTGAAATTACGAGTGTAAAGAAAGAAGATGTGATTTCAACGCTTCAGTATCTCAACTTAATCAACTATTACAAGGTGAGAACAGCACTGTTTACACTATTCTGTGTTTTAACTCAACCAAGCTTTTGAATAAGTGCTCGAGTCTGAATGACTGTTAAGCTCTTTTTGTTATAAATAAATAGGTTAGCACATAAAKGATGTTCTATTTAATTTAATTCTGTTTTTGTTCCAATGAGCAGATCAAGTTTTTCAGCTGCAGCCATGAATACTTTGTTCTCTGATGCATTGTTTCAGACATTTTATTTCAGTCTTACAGTCACAACAGCTGAAACATTTAAAACGATATAGATTTTATTAATGAATATAAGCGATAAAAACGTACTAACCTATAGTTGTATTCACTTAAGCCAAATCATTAATAATAAATGTGGGTTCTCTAAAGAAGGCATCTTTAAAACATGTCCTATATTTAAAAGGAAAATCACACTCAGTCCTTTTTAGCTGCACAACATTAATTATGTTTAGGGTTAAAAGTGTCAGAAAACTCATAAATCTACAGTTCAAATCACATGTAAAATAAAAAACTCATGTTTTTGAAGCTGAAGTTCTAATTTCTAAAAACTGATATTGCTATTTAAAGTTAATCATTGCAACTGAACCAAAAAATCTTGAATTATGTCAAATGGAGCCATTTGAAAGAGTTCACTCCAGTCGTTCTCCAGATGTATCGATATTACTAAATGCGGGCACACACTCAATATAAACAAACACTCCGCTGAATCTGTTGAACACCACACAGAAGTTTGTGTCACATGACTGAGTTAACTGTAGGAACATAACATAATTAAATCACACAACTGTAGAATCCAGATCATCAAGTTTCAGCCTGAACTGTCTTTATCAAATACTTAACAAATTTGAGTGTAAATATGTGCCGAAATTTAAACGTTTTGCTTCGAAATTTTTAAGTGACTGACGTAATACCTGTCAATTTTAGAAAAACAATTGCAGGTTTTGATTTAACTTCCTGTAACATATATATTTTTTGATTGGCCTTAATATTTCAGTGACTATCTTTAAATGCTGTATATTTATTTAAAGAAATGTGCACATCATGACGTAAAACAGTGAGGCATCACTGTGTGTCTTCTTGAACCCAGGGTCAGTACATCCTCACGCTGTCAGAGGACATTGTGGACGGACACGAGAAAGCGATGCAGAAGAGGCACCTGCGCATCGATCCTAAATGTCTTCACTTCACTCCTAAGGACTGGAGCAAAAGGGGAAAGTGGTGAAGTCCGGGTCTGGTTCACTCAGTACTCGCACCGGGACWTCAGGCGCCGGATCAGATAAAACATTTTTGTTGAGCTGCTTTCAACAAATCTCTCTGGACCCAGGGCTTCAAACACTTGAGTTACTTGAGATGCACAAACTTTTATTAAAACACTTTTTACATATTTGTGAATTTAGAAAATCATCCAGTGTGGAAACTAATGCAGCAAAACATAACACTGTCTGCTGCATGGACCCTTGATTGTTACTAAAACAATGCTCTGACGTCGACTTGAGGTGGTTTAAAAGTGTCAAAATAAAGCGTAAAATCCCAAACACAAGCTTCCCAGTGATGGCTTTAGCCTCTTGCTCCACAGTGAAAATTTTCTGGTCAGCAAATCCATATTTTATAACACCTTGAAAAATGTCTTTTTAAAGGCTACACCTTCTTCTAGTTCTGAGTGTCATTCTACATCGTTCAACAAAATTATTTAAATCTGTTTAGAATTGCTACTTTAGATTTCTCAGWTTAGGTCATATTTTACTCATCAGAGTAAAACTGCTGTTGGTTTTTCAGTCTGACTAGATTTTTATTAATTTTTTTAATTTGGTGATTTTCAGCACACATCTGATGCTCGTTGGTGGTAGTTAATTTTAATTTCACGTGGTGGTTCTAAGAGTCTGTGGGCTGCAGGTTTGAGCCCAGKTTGCTTCAGAAAATGCATTCGGCGAAAATCAATTGCCAAATCTTAGGTGTGTGGTCGCTTGCTTGAGCTGACAAGTTTTAATTTATCTGAACTAAACTAAATCCTTTTCCAGCTGCCTTTGGTTTCAGCTCATCAGTAAGACAGTTTATAAAATCTACACTTATATTTGTAAGAACAGAAACAGTAAGAATCTTTGTCACTGTTGTATTTCTTTTACTAAAAGCTGACTGCTGACCGTTCAGATTTTATTTTCATCACATTCTATTTAATAACTTGTTTTTCCTGTTTTTTTACACTGTACATACTGAGAACCCAAGTCATGCTGAACTGTTAGATGAATGTAAATTTACTGTACAGTTTTTTTTAAATCTAACAAGCTACACAACAGGAAAAAAAACTTAAATATTTTACTTTCTGTTTACATGTCAAAAATGGTAAATTTGTTTTGTTGAAATAATTTGATATGTATTTATGTAAGAAACAAGTGTTACTTGAACGTTTGATATTGAAAGCTTGTTGAATTCATAAAAACAAGTCTTAAAACCTCATAAGCGTATAATGTGTCATTTTAATAATAGTAAAAAGAAACAGGATCTTGGTATGCGTTTATTCACGTTATATATATA